ATCCCAAGAGGAGAATGGAGGAGAAGGGATTGCGGCGTGGCCATCCCCCCTGGGGGGTGATTTCTCGCTTTCTGTCTCTCTGTCTCTGTCTGGCAAAAACCTCTCCAAAAAAAAAAAAAAAAATAATTCGAGCTCCAGACCTGCTGCCTGAAAAACACTCCAGGTTGGGGCCAGCAGAAGGCATAGTGGGTTGGTCAGTCCCTGGACTCCCACATAGTTGACTGCAGTTTGAGTCCTGGACCCAGTGGCTTGAAACTCATGCTGGGTGCATGTGCGTGTGTGCTCAAGGTCCTGGGAACAGAAGAGAGAGGAGAGAGGAGATTGTGGCCTGGCCATCACCCCAAGGAGTGATTTCTCATTTTCTGTCTCTACAGCGAGCATATGCCCTATACCAAAAATCTCTCTCATTTTTTAAAATTATTTTTACTTTATTTAACTAATTTGACCAGAGAGGGACAAAGAGAAAGTGAGAAAGCAAGCCACCAGGTCCAGGACTCGAACCGTAGTCAGCCATGTGGGAGTCCAGCACCCCTAACTCATCCTACCTGCCAGACTCTCAAAAAGCTCTCTCTCTCTCTTTTTTTAAAATTCATTTATTTTTAATTTGGCCAGAGAAAGAGTGAAAGTGAGAAAGCAAGCCGCCAGGTCCGGGACTTGAACGGTGGTAAGAGGAGTCCACCGTCCTTAACCACCTCCGCACCTATTTTAGGTTTTTATCTTAGGATGTATGAGAAAGAGAGACAGAGACAGAGAGAAATCATTCTTCAGGGGAAAGGCCACCCCGCCATCCCTTCTCCGGAGTTTGGACACGCATAGGAGACAGGGATCGGGGTTTGAACTAAGATCAACCATGTGTGAAGCCGGCGCCTTAACCTCCAAACTTTTTTTTTGTTTTAAGATTCATTTACTTAATTCCATGTTATTGTTATCTTTTTTTTTTGACCACCAGAGAAGAAAGGGAAAGTGAGAAAGCAAGCCACCAGGTCCGGGACTTGAACCATGGTCTGCCAAGTGGGAATCCAGCACCCTTAACCACCACACCGCCTGGGCCCCAGTCTCCATACTATTTACAGATCCCTAAAATTCCCGTTTCTGACACTTTCCCCTTATCCCGCACCCCAACGTCTGGGAACATAGTCCAGTTCTGCAGAAATAAACTCGAGCTGAGATACTTCCGGCGGAAGTAGCTGGGCGTGGGAAAACCCCAGACCTTTTTCCGTAAACGTCCCTCAAGGGCGCACCTAGGCGACGCGTGGGGGCGTGGCTAGGCATCCCCACGCGATTGGCCAGCAGCTCTCCCAGCCTGCGCATACGGCGCTTCCGGGTTCTCTCCGCAATCGCATGGCCTTTTGGGAGTTGTAGTTCCAACTCTGGGGCAAAGGTCTGCGGTCGGGATCAGGCTCGCAGGAGGTCGTAGGTCGTCCCCTGCTTTTGGCGCTGCGCTGGGGAGATGGAGTCAGGGTCCGGGACCGAGTCGGCACCGTTGGCCGGGCTGGCCTGGTCATCGGCTTCGGCACCCCCTCCACGGGGATTCAGTGCGGTGAGTGGCGTCGGAGAGGGCGCGGGGGTGTGGTGGGAGTCGAGGCTCCCGCAGCCAGGTAGGAGTTCGCCACTGACCCAAGTCCTCGTACTAGATCTCCTGCACCGTCGAGGGGACCCCCGCCAGCTTCGGCAAGAGCTTCGCGCAGAAATCGGGTTACTTCCTGTGCCTGAGTCCTCTGGCCAGCCTGGAGGTGAGAGGCGGGACCACCCGGGTACGCTCATGGCTGCAGACCCCGCTGCTGGGCGATCCTCACTGTGTCCACCTCCCATCCACCCTAGAATCCGCAAGAGAATGTCGTGGCCGAGATCCAGGTCGTGATGGACAAGAGTCCCCTCCCGCCAGGCTTCTCCCCGGTCTGCGATCCCCAGGACTCAAGTAAGATCTCCTGCAGGGGCAGGAGGGGTCGGGGGCCTGCAGGGGAGGAGTGAGGAGGGGAGGGTCGTCTGGCGCCTGGGCAGACAAGCTGATGGCAGGGTGGCCTGTGGACTCCTGTCCTAGGGCTTGGCGATGTCCCTAGTGCTCAGTTAAAATGCATGATTAGGGGGCCAGCAGATGGCGTAATGGCTATGTCGCTGGACTCCCATGTAGGCGACCATGGTTCAAGTCCTGGACCTGGTGGCTTAAACTCACACTGCGCGCGTGTGCGTGCGTGCCCAAGATCCCGAGAGGAGAATGGAGGAGAAGGGATTGTGGCGTGGCCATCCCCCCTGGTGGGTGATTTCTCGCTTTCCATCTCTGTGTCTCTCTCTGTCTTTCTGGCCAGCAGACCCGCCCTATAGCAAAAAAACCTCTCCAAAAAAAGAAAAAAAATAGTGTGATCAGGGGGCCAGCAGATGGCGTAATGATTACGTGTCTGGGCTCCCTTGTAGTGCACCGAGGTTCGAGCCCCGACCCAGTGCTTAGAAACTCATGCCAAGCCCGTGTGTGTGCCTGTCCCAAATTCAGAGGGATTGTGGCATGGCCATCCCCCATAGGGGTCATTTCTTGCTTTCCATTTCTCTGGCAAGTCTCCCTAAGGGGGCAAAATATAATGTGTGGGGTGGGGGGACCAGGAGCCCAGCAGGTGGCCTGGCAGTTGAGGCACTGGCTCCCACATGCCTGACTATGGTTCAAGTCCTGGACCTGGCGGCTTGCTTTTTCACTTTCCCGCTGTCTCTCTCTGGCTAAATTAAAAATAGTAATTATTAATCGGTGCAGTCTGTCCTAGACCAAGTTCTGTCTCGCACCCCGAGTACTGTCACTGCTTCTTGCCAGCCCCTGAGTCCGGAGCCAAGCAAAACTACCGAGCAGTTCTCTTTTTCATTTCCAGGGCTTTTGCACACGCCGTTTTCCTCTGCCTCGAGCACCCTGGCCAGCCTCTTTGCCTAGCGCATTCCTCACCCTCCTCAAGGTCTCGGCTTCGCCCTTGCCCACCCCTCCTCTTCTGCCATCCGGCCTGCGCTCGATCCTCCCAGCCCTGAAGCAGCTTCCTATCATGGCTTCTGCTTAAATCTGACTCTGGGGGTATACTCACGGAGACTGGAGGTGACGATATTTGATGTAAAGGCCAGATTGTAAATATCGTCAGCTTTGGCATAATGGTTACATCGCTGGACTCCCACGTAGTCGACGGCGGTTCAAGTCCCAGACCTGGCAGCTTAACACTCAGGCCGGGCGTGTGTGCGTGTGTGCCCAAGATCCCGAGAGGAGAGTGGAGGAGAAGGGATTGCGGCGTGGCTATCCCCCTGGGGGTGATTTCTCGCTTTCTGTCTCTCTGTCTCTCTGGCAAGCGTATGTATGCACCGCATAGCAAAAATCTCTCTCTCAAACAAAAGCAAAACACAGAAAAGCTATACTTAGTTCACGAGCTGGACAAAAGCAGACCTCGAGTGAGATCTGGTTCGTGGCCATCGCTGGCCAACCGCTAGAGGAAGGACTGAGGAAAAGTGGGGTTTGACAGTTCATGGATGGGCACCCAGTTCTGTCTAATGGCCCAGTAACCCACACTGATTGTGGTGTCTTCGCTCACCCCCCACCCCTGCAATGCTCCTTCAGAGCAGCCTGCTCCGATGGCTCCAAAACGTGGCATGGAATCCCCTCCTATAGCTATACCTTTTGTGATTCAACCATCAACCTCCCCCTACTGCCCTGCAATGCCACCCACATGGCTGCCTTAAATGGCACCCTAGACAGTGTTGTCCTGGTGCTCCCTCCCACTCCTGCCTGCTTCCCTCTCTCACTCCTCCACGCCCCCACTCCCAGAGGCCTCCATGTCCAAGAAGAAACGTATGTGTGTGAAGTTGGTGCCCCTGGGGGCTGCGGACACCGCCGTGTTCGACGTCCGGTTGAGTGGGAAGACCAAGACAGTGCCTGGATACCTGCGTGTCGGGTATGGCTGCTCCCAGGCCTCTGGCCTTCCCTCCTCGACTCACCCCGATCTTCTCCTCTGAGCCCTCTCGGTCCCTCAGTCACCTCTCTGGGCCTCAGATTTTTGCATGTTAAAATGGGGGTGGTTAGGGGCCAGCAGTTGGCATAATGGCTATGTCACTGGACTCCCACGTAGTCAACTGCGGTTCGAGTCCCAAACCCGGTGGCTTAAACTCACGCTGGGAGCATGTGCGTGCGTGCCCAAGATCCCGAGAGGAGAATGGAGGAGAAGGGATTGCGGCGTGGCCATCCTCCCTGGGGGGTGATTTCTTGCTTTCTGTCTCTGTCTCTCTTTGTGTCTCCAGTGAACACATGTGCCCTATAGCAAAAATCTTTCTAAAAAAAATAAAATGGGGATAGTTAGGGGCCAGCAGGTGGAGAGGTAGTTAGGGCGGCTGGATTCCCACATGGTCAACTGTGGTTCAAATCCTAGGCCTGGTTGCTTGCTTTTTCACTTTGTCACTCTTTTCTCTCTCTCTGATGAGCATACATGCCCTATAGCAAGTAAAATAATAATAATAATGATAATAATAAATAAAATAAAGTTATTTTATTAAAATTTATTTATTATTATTTTAATTTGATCAGAGACAAGAAGAGAAGGAGAGGGAGCAAGCTGCCGGGTTCAGGACTCGAACCACAGTTGGCCACGTAGCAGTTCAGCACCTTTTTTTTTTTTTTTTAAAGAATTTTTTTCTTTAACTTGTTTTTATTTATTTATTTCAGTTTGACCAGAGAGGGACTCAGAAGGAGGGAGG